CAATAATGGTGTCTCTTTAGATGCATCTGGACGTCCCAGCTGATGGCTTGGATTGGTCTCCTTCTGTACAGACCTATCCTTGTTTTTAATCACTGGTAACAAAGGAGAACCCTCTGGTTCAAAACTCACTTCATTCCCACTATAATACGCAGGTACCAAATAAGCATTCCATGCATGGTTATCTGATAATCTATAGGTATATGGCCCTTTCCTCTCCATAATCTTACAAGGTGAAGTAAACTTGCATTCCCCCTTTCTCAAAATCCCAGGTCTTCTTACTCTAACAAATGAGCCACATTCAAATTTAACATCCTTAGCACCCCTTCGTTTATCTGTATATGTATAAACCTTTACTTCTCTTGCATTTGAACCACCCTTTTTTGTAATCCTGAATCTAATGACACATCAGTTCTTGCCTCTGACATTCCAGTAGCATCTCTCTCCCATGTAATAATTCTGCTGGTGATCTTTGCATTGTAGCATGCCTCGTTGCTCTATATGCTTGCAGAAAATCAGTTGTAAAAACAATCCATGGCCTTCCTTCCAATTTAGTTGTCTGCAAGCCAAACATCTATTAAACCGCTCAATTTCTCCGTTAGCTTGCGGATAATACACTGATGACCTCCTATGTACAATATTCTGTTCCGCAAGAAAAGTTTCAAATTCCAAAGAAGTAAATTGGGCACCATTATCAGAAAACAACTCTTTAGGGTCCCCTTCCCTACTGAAAACCACAGCCAAAAACTTAATCACAGTAGCAGATGTTGCTTGTGATGTAAATTCTACCTGTGGCCATTTACTAAAATAATCTATTAAAGTGATAGCATAATGACATTCAATAGGGGCCGTCTCAAAAGGTCCCACAATATCAATGGTGACCTTTTCCCAAGCAGAATGTGGGAATGTGACTGACTGTAGTGCTACTGGATGTGTTACTGCAGCTTTATCATGTAACTGGCAAGTGACACAAGCCTTAATGGCTGCTTCCACTTGGGAATCCATTCCAGACCACCCATACAAGTCCTGCAATCATTGTTTAATATGTACAATCCCTTGGTGTGTATCATGAGCCAAAGCTATAAATGTAGGCCGCAGTTCCTTTGGGACCAGCAATCGATGTGTCCCTCGTAAAATATAACCATTTTGCAATGAGAGCTCATCACGTACTCTAAAATAAGGTGACAATTCTGGCTCAGTTCCTTTTTCCTTATTAGGCCATTTATTCAACAAAAATCCCCTTAATCTCTGCTGGATTGGGCGTGCTAAAAATGCAGCTTGAAATTTCTCCTTTGTCACTGCAACTGGAATACTTGAAAGCAATGCAACCACTTCTACATCCTCTCCTGGCAATATGCCTGAGGATGGCAAAGGCAGTCAGGACAAACAATCAGCTATCACATTTTCTGTCCCTGGCTTGTATTCAATATCTGGGTGCTCCCTCTGGGCTGTTTGGGCGAAGGTAAGGGACGTAGTCATCATTGATCTTTATCAGTGATCTTCGACTCATGAGTTCTGATCCTTGGGTGGAGCATGAATCTCCATCTTTTGGGTGACGCACCCCTGTAGAGCTGCTACTTTTTTTGCAACTCTTTGGAAGGATCTGTTACTAGAATGAATACAGAGAGGGCAAGGACCATATGCTTCCTGCATTTTTGTTGCATGTACTCTGAGAGCAGGAAAGCAAGGTCTTCCAGTGGCAGAGAGAATTTCTTTTTAACACAGAGAAGTTCCGACCCTCCCCTACAAGAACTTTCTTCACCCTGTGCACCAAAGCCAAATCTGGACAGCCCCCACCTCCACAAGTTGGGCCTCCAGTGCTTTGTGTGTGCTTGTGACTTAAGATCCCTTTTCCTACAACTGAGGTTGTAACATTGGCTCCTCTTTCTGTCATGTGACAGAAAGGCACATGGCTGTGATGTCATGTACTTGTTATTCAGTGGGTCCCTGAGGGTTAAATGTAGAACCTGAATTTGTAAAGATTGAAGACCACTGATTTAAATAAATGAGTTGACTTATTTGGTATTGAGAAGCTTTGTATGTTACTTTAGAGCATCAATAGTGTGACCCCATCTGTGGATACTTATATTCAGAGACTGAAGACACGAACAGACAAGACAGATCTTTCTACAAACCTGAGAAAAGGCCCAGGTTTGCAGGAAAACCTGAAGTCCTAAAAAATGCATTGATTGAAGCAGTGCCTTTCCTTTAAAGAAAGGAGATCCCAGCAGTTACTGTGAGGATTGCTAGGAAACCACAACAATATTGCCAGCCTTCAGACCTTGATTCTGTCAATAAAAGGTGCTGGATGTGGCGGTTCTGGAGCTACTTTGGCTTCCCAGTCCACCCCTACTTTTCTCCCTCCTACCCTGCAGGGAAGACTCATCAGGGCCAGGGCCAGTGGCAACAACCAGGCAGCTTGCTACCATGCAATCTGGGTGACCCACCTAGGAGCAATGGTGGCTACCAGATGACTTGACACCAGACAACCTAATGCCGCACAACTCACCTGGTCCCAGTCTCCACAAAACTTGTATGGCTTGGCTGGCCCTAGCTGTGGCTATCATAAACTCATCTACATGACTTTTTGCTACTTGGCCAGATTTTTCACAGGGAGAAACTGCCAGGGGAAGGGAAGGAGAGAAAGCTGAGAGCCAGTGTGGTATAGTGCTTATAGTGTCAGACTTGGATCTGGGAGACTCAGGTTCAAACTGTTCTCACAATTTCAAAAGAAAAAGTAGCAATTTCAAATGTTGTGTTTTTCATTCTTCTTAAAATGCATTTATGTTTGAAAATTGGTGGGTGCATGGGGGGGGCAGAAGGTAGTCTCGCCTAGTGTGCAAAAGAACCTGGCCCCAGCCCTGGCTGCCCTCCTACTAAAATAGACCTCATTAACATTGTACCATAAATGCAGTCAAGTGGGCAGGGTATGAGCAGGAATATATTTGCTTG